ATATATAAATACTTTTACATGTAAATAAGTGTTCACATTTCTATATATAATTCCCTATGTATACTTGTAAGCGTAACTGCTTGCATACATATTATGTATAAGTATCCGTGGGTCTCTTTCGCAAGATCGAAAGGCTTGGAACAGCTGCGTTGCCTTGTTCAGTAGCACCACTAACATGGGATAGCCACACTGTTTCCCCGGGGGGTCTCGGTGTCCCTAATATTTGTGGGTGCATTTGCATATACATATATTTACGCACTGCAGGCAAACGTGGGCCACAAGGCAAAGTTGGACCAACTGGGCTTGTTGGAAACGTTGGCGAAGAAGGCCGGCCTGGCATTAACGGTTTTCGTTAAAAGCTAACATTTTTTTTTACTTTTATTATATAGTTTAAAAAACAATCACCACAAAATGACATTAAAAGGAGCATGCTCTTGAACTGATCGGTCCAGGAGATATAGTAAAAAAATTAAATTTCTTCGGAAGTGGAAAATTTCAGCAGCATTTTAGATGCGAAACTGCGATAAATAAATCAGTTCCAAAATATAAATTTTATTAAATAGAGTTTTCACAATTTCCAAATCATATTTTTTTTGTCCATCAGAAAATTTAGGTCGATGTAATTGCTCGTTTCCGGATCTTTATGTACAACAAGTGACTGTGCCAGGACCACCCGTTATACGAATTCATGAAAAACCCGTACCGGTGCCTGTGGTGGTAGTCAAGGAAATTGAGGTATGAATGAGACTTGGATACAAATATTCCAGCATAATCGTTGGCGTTTGTATACTTTGAATTTTACTGAGAATGACTTCAAGGAATTTTTTTGGAAATGCATGTTTAACGAGTGTTTTCAGCTTATGTTAAAAATAACGAGTTGCTGTCAAAACTTTCATGACTGATCAAATGATCAGTATGTGAATTCGATATCAATAATATTAAAAATTCTTTGTCGCAGCTTCTTCTTTACTGGCTTTTCGCGGATTTTTCGAGACAAAGGTCGACTCTTCAGAGGCCGCGTGAATGACCGTTTAAATTACTTGTTCGTGTTCAAAACCAATTTTTTATTCGAATAAAGTCGCTTTTTTCCAGAATGTTTTGTTTAGGTGACAAAGTTGGTACCATTCGAGCCGACAGCGCCTGGTTTTGGTCCACCACCGGATTGGATTCCTGGTGTTGGTACACCGGATTTGGCGAGGACACAAATATTACCAAAATTCACTACCGCAAAAATTGAACCAGTAGTAGCATCAACTGTGCCAGCACTAAGCGAAGCAGGTCGATTAATCGAAACATCTTAAACAATATAATATCAGTTTAACTAAAAAGGTGGAAAATCCAACAAAACAGTGCCAAAAGCACCCGAAATTTGGCAGTTTATGCTAAAAATGGATCAAAAACATGGTTCATGCCACTAAAGCATACTTATTTAAACAAATGGTTCACTTATTTAAACAAAAAAATGATTCACCTACTTATTTAAACAAATGATTCACCTGTGAATAGGATACGGAACGCTTCTCAGTGGTGTAGCCAAACGCCATGCCATTTTCTTTATCCTTCATTTCATGGTTGCTTTGACCAATGCTGCATCGTCTGATGGTCAGATTTCTGAAGATTCTGTGGCTCTTTTCGTTTCTTGAAGGGTCGCTGACTCAGTGGCTCTCCAAATAGAAGCACCGCCGTAAAACAGAAGAATATCAATACTTCTTAGCTATCATTTTAAGCATCCCATTTTGAAGGTGCTGCTAGAACACCTCCAGACAGTTGTGTCATGCCCTTCGATCTTGGACTGTATACATTCGGTTAATACCCACCGCCTCTTCATGGGCTATCAGGCTTACTTTAATGCGCAACGTACGACGATTTCGGCAAAGCTAGCAATATTCTCTACCCATCGAATTTCACTTTTTCGAGCAATCGCAATCACATCTTGCACGCTGTCCACTTGTACGTTTATTTGCTTACGAAGAAATGCACCGGATATTCTTCGCGCCATCGTTCTCTTCTCAGATTTCATCAGTGACCACGTTTTGCATCCTTAACTTACTGGTTTCAACAGAAACCTGGATAAAATGTATTGTAGTGCTTTTTCAACGACGAAGAGTTAACAGGGCTAAATCCCGTCATGTAGGCATTTCATCCCCTACATCATG